AATAGACTTTTTTGCCGTATGAGTATACGTTGCCCAGGGTGCACCACGTGGAGGTAAGTCTGTCGTACACCCCATTTCTCAATTATCGATGCTCAATCAATTTCCCAATAAATCTTACGAGGTTTTCCAGTTGTTTAAATATTCAATAAAAGGAGTATGGAAGATCTTTTCATGGCCCTAGGGGGTGCAAAGAGCGTTAAACTCTTCCATAAAAATCAAAGGCACAAATTTCGTCAAAGAGCCTCAGGTTGGAATTCTCTAAATAAAAGAAAGTATGTCAACGTTCTAGATCAGATGTTAATCTAAGCACTTTCATGGACTCTTTCAGTCAGAAAATGTTTAGTATCAATAGCGTTCTCTTTTACAAATGTGAAATTCGAACTGATATCTGAATATGACTCCTTGGGATTATTGCCATTTAAGAAGCAAGAATTTTTGTTTCTATTTTTTCCTGTAGTTCTTCTTATTGAGCAAAAACTTTGAATTTCGACGAGATGATTTCTGCTTCGATTCGGGTTACGATATACCGCAAATCAGTTTGGGACGCTGCCATTCTCAGGGTGGAAATCAACATTTTGAATACAATGATGTAAGTCTCCGTGTCAATCCCATTTTTTGCTTTTTAGCTATTTCTTACCCCCCCCCCGTATTAACTTTGGAATTTGCTTCTTAGGATAACGAAATTAAGCAGAACAGCAATTGCATGACAATCAGTGAGGATGGAAAGAAGATAACCATGGAGAAATGCACCGGATCTGAGTATCAGAAGTGGGTGATGAGTCGAAAACCCTTCGTTCCACAGAAGAATGGGGCTGCGCGATGAGATTGCTACGCCCTAACATTACTCCCCCTCCCTCTCTCTCCTCTATGCTGTGATGTGCCTTCTATCTCCTTCCCTTGTGTCTCTCAAAATCTCGCTTCACCCCCTCTCCGTCCCCCACCCCCCTCCCCCCGCCCTCTTCCCATATTGTTCGTACATGCAAGCACAGGTCACTCCCCCCTCCTTCCTTATGTCCTTGCTGTGATACGTCTGCGTTCTGTCTTCTCAACAACACCACTGTGCCAAACATATTCCACACCTAGCTTTGTTCCCTCTCCTTTGATCCCACCTGCTTCTCTCGGAAACTTTGGCCAATTTTTGTTTTTTTTTGTCTATTTGTATCTTCGAATTCAGCTCCCTCCATCTCTCACTCTCTACTTCTTTCAGATTACCTTCCAAAACTTCCTCCGGAAATGGATATCAATGTGCCTTGGATAGTTCACTCTAGCACTACCTCTTCATCCTCTCCTCTATTCTCTCTTTTCTACCGATATTGTGTTGTGAATGGACGGCTAACGAAAAATCAATAGCAATTTTGGTTGTGAAGCAAATTCTGTGTGTATGTGTGTGTGTGTGAATTTTTGCAAATGATGTACGGCAGAGAATACAAGTCTTTCTTTGGTGAGATTAACTCTTTCGCTTTTTACTTTAAACCTTATGCACATGTTAAAGGGGAGAAGGCAAGTGCCAATTTTAATCCTCGACAATCACCTTGAAATTTCTAGAATTGTCCAAATAATGAGTAATGAGAGATCATTTATCAATGGTGCACAAAAGTCAGGGCGTGGTGGG